TACCTGCATTCTCTCTTTACCCACAGTGGGTAATGTAGCAGGTGACCACAGCAGGTATAAAATAAATTTTTGTCTATAATCTCAGCACTCAGAAGGCTGAGGCAGGAGGATCCTTGCGAGTTCGAGACCAGCCAGGGTTACAAAGTGAACTCAAGGCCAGCCCAAGCTGCACAGTGAGACCCTGTCTCAAAAAGACAGAAAAATAAAAAATAAAATAAAATAAATTTTGGCTGAAAAGAAGGAATCTCTTCTTACATAGCATCACACACCCCACTGAGCAAATATGTTTCCAGCTTCTTCTTTTCCTCTTAATTTTGCACCTGGTCATTTGATCATGCAAAAATTTTCTTTTCGTGTAATTGTACCTTCTGCTCGATGGTCTCTGTTGTAAGTAGCAAGGTGAGCAAGGCTCAAAATCATGATTTTTTTTAGATCTAGAATTCTGTGAAAGGCTTTCATTTTGTTAGAAATATTTAATTATATTTTAGTTTATGACATGATTTAGAAACCTAACCTTTTCATCTGACTGCTTCATTAGCAGCTAGCCCATCACATGGGTTAAACGTACTTTTTCCCAGCATCCACCGGAGATGGTGCCTCATCACACTGGTACTCGGGTACTTACACACTCAATGTGTGCGAACACCAGCTACGTTTAAATCTTCCCTTGTGTTGTGTCCCATCCCCTCAGGTTCCACAAAGCCCCATGTCCTTTTAATGACCAAGACATAAAGTAGGTTCTAACGTGTGAAAGGTCAGCCTTCTCCTTATTCAAAATCGGTGTTTCTACTTTAGCACCTTTCCGGGTGAACTTTGTAGTTTCCCTGAATATTTTGTTAGTGTTCTGATTGGCACTTAGTTCAGTTTATTCATCAATCAGCATCTTTACAATACGAAGTCTTTCCCCTTTTGGCCAGCTGGAAGTAGTTTGTCCTTCCTCTGAACTCCCTCAGCATTTTATACCTGCAAAAAAAGTCACTTTCTAAACGAGACCCACCCAGTTTTTCAGCCATGAAACCTGAGTATGGTTCCCTTCCCTCCCCACCCCCCGGTACCCCATCTAATCAATCATCAAGCCCCCTCAACACTGCCTCCTAAATTTCACCCCCTTCTGCCTGTCCCCACCCCCAGCACTCTAGTTGGCTGCCAAGGCCATCACACTGGCCCCCAACTGACCTCTCTGCCTCCACCTTGGGTTCTAAGCCATTCATGGCACTGTGTCCAGGATGGTCTTCTAAAAGGCAAACCTTCTACAGATACTCAAGGTACTTGGGTAGGAGCTGAGAAAACAGGTCTCGGTGGAGCATGCACCTGCCTTCCTTCCAGCTTGTATCCAGCTTCTCTTTAATTTGTCATTTTGTCTTGGTGGTGACCATCAAATATATCACATGGTCTTTTCCACCCCAGGGCCTTTGCATGTGCTGTTTTCTCTGTCTGGACTGTTCTTGGTTCTCCCTGTCATCTCAATTTAAGATGATGCAAATCCTCTCACATATATTCCCAGCATCCTGCACGACCCCATTTTTGTACTCATTCCATGTTCAATTCCTTGTTCACATCATCACTCTCCATGATGAAGGGTGATAACAGATGATGCACACTTTTCGGATGTAACGTATAACTCACAACCACCCCTTCTCCACCTTGGGTGCTTTCTACGTACCAGCATGAGAGATGGGGTGCTGAGAGCAGGTCGATGTGACACATTCTTTGGAAATTACTGAGGCAAGAGCATTTGCATCAAGGAAATTGCTAAATGCCGCCAACTAACACTTTTCTCCTAACCCCCTTTCCTGGAGAGCTGGCCATTGCACCTTTACCTGCCCACCCATTTCCCGCACGGTGCCATTCAGTCCCCTCCTCAGCTTGCCGGGCTAGGCAGCCCATCTGAGAAGAAGGGGAAAGGGACACTGGGAAGCGAGGAGGCTGTGCACCCAGGCTCTCTGAAACCACAATATGAGGGTCCACCTTCCTGTCCATCACTGTGTCACCACGTCCTGGAAGATGGACCGGACCCATCTGATGTGGCCCCAGTACGCCTGGCACTTAGCATGACCCTGAGCACAGCGCACCTGATAGGCACATACGTTCTCCATGCAAGTGCCCATAATGCCTCAGCAGACAGCAAGTCACAGCCCAACACGACACTTCTGATGTCCACAGTTACACGGCGTCCTCTTTTGCTAGGCACTGTGTTTCCAGGAACTGCAGACCACAGCCTCCTCGGTTTTGCTGGAAAGCCCCTGCATCTGTGACTCTTCTACAAAGGCTCCCTCAGCTTCCCCAAGCTAGTCACTCTTGCCCCGCATCCCGCTACCCTTCTTGTGTTTATGTCTCTTATGAGACTTAACCTGATTACCATCAGCTGGAGGTAGTACTCTCTCCTACACCTGTCACTGCTAGAGAAATATTGATGGGGGGTAATTCTGAGTGCATGTTTGTTCAATGACTATATGAACTCAGAGATTTGCATCTAATTGATCAGAGGTCCAGACAAAGTGTGGCTGTCTAGTACATCCAAGGGTGGAACCTCTGCGCTACAGGAAACTTGTATGCACACACACACACACACACACACACACACACACACACACATGCAGAGGCTCCGAAGTCCACAGTCCCACACAGAGCTGAGATCATTCTTTATTTCCACAGAGAGTCGAGTGCTAGCTACAACATGTCAGTTATTACAGCCCCAGCTCCTCACAGGCCAGACCTGTCATCCACACCCACGAGGTGTCTTTGAAGCCCTAGAGAGGCCAGACATTCTGTCTGTGGAACGAGTCCTGCCTCACCTCTCCTGATCGCCTCCTGTTGTGCTGCTGCCCACTGACGCCGTTTGGTCACCCCAGCGTCCTGCACCAGGTCTGTGGGCACCAGGCTTCTTCACGCTGCTTGCTCTGCAATCTTGCCTGTGCTTTCTGCTGAGGATGCTGCACACACACACACACACACACACACACACACACACACCCAACTCAGGAACTCCCCAGGTCCTGCTGCAGTGACCTCCAGTGAGCCGGTCAGGAAACACAGCCCCAGGGAGTCCCCAGGACAGACGGAGAGGAGGCAGTGTGAGGGCCCTGGAGAGGAAGGCAGGGATGGGGCCAGAATCACGCGCTGTCCCTTGCTGCCACTCAAGTCTAGCTCACTGAAGTCTCTCCTCCCTGACCATCCTGCACAAGATCCCCCCTCCTTCCTTCCCTCCCCACTCCCTGAAGTGCCGCATTCATTTCCCCGCCATCCATCTGTCCCTCTCCAATGTAGTCTCATTAAGACAGGGAGCTGGACGTCACTCACGTCCACAGCTCAGCCTGGAGTCACACTGCCCCACGGAGACACATCGTGGACACTACCTGGAATGTGTGAATGAGCTGAGTCCCTTCGGGAGGTTGAGCCGTAGGTTTCTTTATTGTGACTGCAATAGATTCTTCCACCCACAAAAATAACACCCGAGTGCACTGATCTCAGGAGAGCAAACGCAAAGGAAAAAAAGCTAAATAAATGTCCCTAAACTTATCCTCCTATTTCTGATCCTTTCTAATAACCTGACATCTACACTTGACCATGAGAAGGAGACACAATTCAAGTAAGAATACACTGCGTGCAACACAACTGTACTGAAAGTGCGTACACGGCCTGGTGGATGTCCTTGGTTGCCTATTTCTTCCCCAGCAGCCCCTATTTTCCCTAAAAACAACATCCTACTTGGTCTCCGTTCATCAGCTGTTTCTCTGCTCATTCTATCTTTCTAGCAACAGCCCTTTCTCTTCCTAAGACAAAACCTTCACACCGCTTTCCAGTGCACAGCAATTCTTGGTGCCTTCCTGATTTCCTGCCAAAGAAAGTCCAACTGCCCTTATAAGGTTTCTGTTTTCTTCATTAAAAAAAAATGTGGGGTTAAAATACACATTAGAAGCTCCAATGGGGCAACTGGTTAGTGCATAGTACTTCTATAAAATATACATTAATGTAAGAAATCACCACTTCCATGTGTCGAATGCAGGAGTGTTGCGTATCATCCTCCAATTAAACTCCAGAACGCTTTTCATTCTGCAAAACTAGCACTCTATCTGTTCAACTGGAGTCCCTGCTCTTTCTGTAGCTCACGTTGTGCCTCTGCGGATGACTCTTCCAGCTATCACACAGGCTTCTAAGCTGCTGTATGGTTTCCTTCCCTCTCTCCCTCCCCAATTTGTCTGCACTATGCCATGACCAAGTTCTGGCAAGTGCGGATCCGACCTCCCGGCCTCCCGTACAGTTCCGTCTCACTGATGCCGGTGCACAGAGGATTCCCAGAGTCACGACATTCCCTTGCTCTGTCCTTTGTCCATCCACATCCTCCTAATCTGCGAATTTAGTCAATTACCACTTCTTTTTGACACCCTATGCTCCTACTCTATCCACACCAAACTCTCTTCTGAAACTCACAGTCCGTCCACTGGAAACATCATTTTAATCTTCCAAATGCTCCAGCTTCCCTGTGCAATATACCATTGGCTGGTTCCAAAGTTGTAAACTTCCAACAGTGAAAGGACCGTGTTTTATGCACCTCCCCATCTAAATAAAGCAATAGTTGCAAAGTAGAAACTTAATAAATACTGAACAAATAGATGGGTTTAAATTTTCATATGTGAAATACCTTGTGTCCCTTTCCAACCTGAGGCCATTTTCTGGAGTCACATTCAAAAAAATCTATTGACAGCCAACAACTGTGACTGTTTTGGTCTGACTGCTTGGATAAGATACTGCTCCTGTATGTTTACAGAAGAGCTAAATTTGTAAGGGTATGATTGCTGAAATGAGCTGTCATGCCCATCTTCCAGACCAGGAAGAAGCTTGCTTAAGTAAAATACAAACCTAGAATTGAGTTTACATTCCCCCATTCAACATCTACCACGCAGTTCAGTTCTTCCCACACTACCAGGAAGACCTCCAAACTGAGAATGAGTACAAAGAAAGAGACTGAGAAGCAGAGCAAAGCGTTGCTTTTTACCTACCTGTGTAGATGAACCTTCCCGGAGCTCCTTTGCAGAACTGTTTGGATTTGTAGGATAATGTCACCTCCACTACTCCGGGGATGTGCCGCGGAGGAGTCTGCACTCTGATGGCGTGAGGGGTTATGAGCTGAGGAACGAACAGGTGGGGAGATGAAGCACCTGTTAGATGGGCCATCACCAAGGACACGGACCACGGCCTTGTGCACTGATTTGACAATTCCCAAGCCCAACTCAGCACCATGACTTTTAGTGATATGTTCTGCTATTTCTCTGATCACAAAAGTAGAATATATCCAGTTCAGAAAATTGTGTTGTTATATAAATATGGAAAGAGAAATAAAAATGGCATAACCCAGAGATAACCAATGTCAGTATCTTGGGTCTTTCCAACACATTTCTATTCACATGTACCACAGAACTAGAGCCTGCCCATGCATGGATACTGCTGTGTATTTTTTTTTCTATCGTAGGACAAACATACCCCTCTCCAGCATCATTACGTTTTTTTCAAAACATAATTTCACTATCTTTTTTAGTGTATCATTCTTAAATAACCTCATAGCTAAATGTTTTCTAATTTTTCACAACTTTCTATACTACTATCAACAATACTTGTCTTCTTGAGGACAGAATCTGTCCCTGAAGTGACCATGACTTCTGCATTTTCTTATCCTTGATGCATGGCCCACAGTAGGTGCTTAGTATGGCGTGTTCACGCCACTTGTCCTTCAGGAATTAGATACTGTTTTCCTCAGAACAAAACAGTCTTTGGACCAAAGGAGATTGGCAGGCAAGTCGCCTTGGCTTACCTCACTCCACACCAGCATGGTGCCAAACACTACTTGGAGACCATCGAAGAAGTTGTCACCAATGATGATGACCATGGCCCCGCCCGTGGTCCAGCCCTCACTGGGGCTAATGGCTTTGATGCAGGGGGTGGCTGCCGAGATGAGGAAGGAATGGTCAGTTCTTTCTTTTACTGGGAGAAATTTGGAGTTTGGGGTTGGGCCCTCCTGGAAAGCTGTGGGTCATTCTAATAAGTTCAAGTTGAGTTCTGTTGACTTGCCATCTTTTCCTAATTGGTTGTTGATTTTTTTTAACCATGTCATTAAAGCCTAATGAATTCACCATTAGGTACGAAAAGGTGAAACACTTAGCTAATTGTGCAAAGGGTGTTTTCAAAACTCTGTTGATTCTGCCCATATTTTTATAAGTTGATCACACTAGAAATGTGTAAATCCCTTTTCTCTCCCCACCTCCTCTGCTCCAAGATGTTAAGATTTACAAGGCCTGGTAATGTGCTAGGGAGAGAAGGACAAAGAAAATTCTATCGTAGTCAAAGTTGGGGTTTTTTCTGCTGTTGTTGTTGTTTTGCTGTAGCTCTATTGAAGGACAATTTCTAATCCCTGTCATGACTTTCTAGGAAGGATTTTGCTCCCTTCTTCCACATGTTTGAGGCCTCTGAACTTTATATCCCAACAGGAACCCAATATGGTTTTCAGGCCATAACTAAAGTCAATCCATCACTCCATTTCCAAAGTTGACAGGGTCAAAGGTGGAGGAGAACTTTGGCAGGACTCCAAAAACATGAGCCCCCCTTTGAACAGCCAGTCAATCACATCCAATCAGTCAGAAGAAACTGGAGGGGCTCCCTGCTCTGAACTCCAGGATTTTCTTCTCCCCTTTCAATGCCCACTGTGGGAGAATTAACACCACTCCAAATTCTTTACTGATTCAATCATTTTCTTTCAGTTCATTAATTCCTATTTAAAACGATATGAGATCTATTTTAAGGGCCAAGCTGGGGTGGGGCCTAGCAGGCGAAATACGGCTCAACAGTCCAGTGCAGTGCTAGCCTAACGTGGCCTTCCGTTTGTCTAAGGTCTCCTAGGAGAGCAGAAGGAAAGCGAACAAAGGAGATGGGCTTCAGTTAGGTTTGTCAATTACGTTCATCGATAGGCTTTAATTTTTTGGACAACTTGAAGCTTCGCAGTTACCAGTATTTCTAATTACTTTAATGCACTTGGAAAACTACCCAGAGCAGTCCACGATTTCTTCTTGTCCAAGCAAACAAAAATCAATTAGTGTCAGTTTCATTCCGCACACTGTTTTGTTTTGCCCGCAATCTGTTTAAGAACACAGCTGACACTTATTCATACATGTCTGGCACTGTACGGGTCCTGTTTAACTAAGATGTCATAGGCCTACATTTGCCTGAAATGTTCACACAGCAAAAAGAAAAACACAGAGCAGAATGGGAGGGGGGGGCGGGGTGGTACACAGAGCAGGAGCTGTGAGCTGTGAACTGAGTGTGGCTTGCGGTGCCGCAGGCTGTAGCCCACTGTACAACAGCGCTTACACACCCGCGTGGCTTTATGTACTTTCTGCACTTAAGACATAAATTTGAAATTCTAACAAGGAGAGCTAGACAGAACTTCATTCAACTACTGTGTCCAGCCCGGACAGCCCTACCTTCTGACGGGTCGAGCCTTCTCGCCCTCCGCCCATGCTTCGAGTTGTTATGAACAAACATGTTGTCGGAAACAGCCAGCACGTGCCCATCCACATTCACGGTAGTTGACAACACAACCTGTGTGTTTAAAGTGCAGAGTGGGGTGCAGGGAGTTAGTTTCACAGGAAGTAGTAAACACCGGAATCCTCTGTCACCCGTGCGTGTGACTAATGGGAGACAGGACAGAACTTGGGAATGGGTCATGAGTTTAGAAATTCAGCAGCCTCTCCTCCTCTCATAACAACAGAAGAACCTAACAGGAAGAAGCAACCCTTAGTCCATGTGTTGTCACATCTTTGTGTGCAAACTCTGCCTTTGTCACAAATTGGGGGGAAAGGGCCCTCAGACTGCTGGCTCCAGAACCCGAGTTCACCATCAAACGACTGGACCATCATTCCCAATCCTAAAGTGCTGACCTGACCATGCACAATCTGGAAATGAAGATGCAGCCAAGGTCACTGGAAGGTCAAGCTCCAAGCTCAGGAATGATTCTTTCATTTTGAACGTGTCCTGACCTCACAATGGGCTTTGGGATGCTGGGGTGTCCCCACCCAATAGAGAACAGTGGCAAAGAGGCTCAGACTAATGAGGAAAAGATAAGGTTCCTGGAATTCAGCATTGCAAACATGGGACATTTAGTATCTCACTGGACGATAGGGAGGAGGTTGGTGTGGAATCCTGGACGAACAAAGATTTGTAGTCAGAACTGAATCCAAGTCTCAGACTGCTGCTTCCTAACATAAAACTGTGGACAAATTACTGAACTTTTTCAGATCTCAGTTTTTCTTATCTAAAAATATAAACCCTGCTCCCTATCACCCAGGGCTGACTGAGATAAAATGAGGACACACTGAGATAATACTTGTCATGCATTCAGGAGAGCACATGGCAGGTGAGGATGCATTCTGTGCTGCCTGCCCGCCACCCCCTTGTTGGACCAGTCAGTAAGACAGAGGGGATTTTCCCATTGTCAAAGCCCTGGAGAAGGTTGCAGAAAGGAAGACGGGCCAGGTAATGGCAGTTACACAGCATGGCCCTTACCCTTAGAGTGCTTTGTGGATAAAAGCAGTAAAGAGAACTGTATCGAAATTGAGTTCTGCCGTGCGTGCTGAGTGCAAGGCATGAAAGAAGTTCTAGGAGGCAGAAGTCAGCAAAGGAACACAGCAGGGACCCCACCTACCATGGACAGACCTGACCCCAAAAGGTCAGCCCCCCAGTCAGGAGCGTACTTCTCAGCTCGTGTCACTTATGCATGGCGACATTGTCTTTAAGAAAAAATAATATGCACGAGTACAGACCTTTCGAGGAAGGACACTGAGTAGGTACATAAAGAGGAACCATGTTCTACAAGAGCCCAACCTGCCTGCGCCCCAAATGTAATTTGCTGGCATCCTACCTGTCATGTTCTGCCACGCCATACTGAATTCCTAGCATCCGTCACCTGGCCTCAAGAAGTTCTGAACTAGTACTGATTTCATTTCATCTCTATCGCTGTTCATACCTTGCCTCTTCTATGAAGATGCTCATCATCATAGGCTTGGAAGGGTTTTTCCCAGGTAAAATTTACATGTGCAATATACACCACTCTCCTGAAGTAGAATGGCATATCCCTCAGAAAGTTTTTCGTGTCCTTTCCTGCAAAGCAACACTTTTCAAGGCACCTTCCCCACCCCCAGCCAAGGACCATTCTACACAGCATCTTTTAACATTTTAAAAATATTTGTAATGTCACAGGTTGGAGAGAATCCCTAAGACCCATGAGTCCACAAATCACTCCACGGGCATGAGACAGCATACATGAAATTTTACTTGGACATAAGTGGGTTTCAATCATTCAACTCAACAGGTATGTGCTGAGTTTCTACCGCATGTCAGGTATTATGACAGGGCCTGGGGATTCAAAGAACAAACGTAAAGGAACCTCAGTTGTCACTCAGAAAATTATCACCCATATAATTGCTCACAATTCAAGGGATGCAGCCTGCCTGGCTCAGGGTCTGTTTCCAATTGTGTCCATGTTAACATGTTAGCGTCTGTGGAAAGTCCTAGATAGTTCCTATCAGGCAGTGGCAGGCATAAAACAGAGCCATCCATCACTCCCAGCGGGCGCACCGAGGCACGAGCTCTTATCAGAGTGACCGTAGCAAAGCACAGGATCATGTCACAGGCGAAGGGAGAGACTGGGCCCCGGATACACAGGGCTAAAGTGAACATGGATGTTAAAACCATCACTTGTGTCATGCTTACCCTCCCACTGTAATAGGATAAAGGGGGAAAGAAGAGGAATCACGATTATGTGTGTGGCTGGTGTCTCTGGGAAACAAAACAAAACAAAAATTCCAAAGGACAGGGAAGGGCTGTGTCAGGGTTGGTGTTAATACGCTGGCCTGGGCATGGCCAGGAGGGGAACCCCACTTCGGTCTGAGGGTTACATGAATGTGAGGCACCTTCTCTGCGAGGTCACTCTAATTCATTCCACAAGCTTCTTGTCATGCTGTCTGCTAATACTCCCCATGCCTTCCTGCCGCAAAATATGGGGCTCTCTCGAGCCAGCGCATTTCGTCATTGTCCGTTGGGGTGGAGTGAGACTTAGTTCCAAAGTGAACATTTCCCGAATGACATACCCTGGTGGCTCAGATGCACTTCATTATTTCCTATTAACAATGGAAATAAATTTTAATCTCTTGCTGGCTAGCACTGGCCTCTCATGACAGCAAGGGAATTAACCTGAATTATTTCAGTGTCTGCAAAATTTATTACAAGATTTTAAATTATGTCCAAATGTATGTGCAGCACATGTGTGTATGCACACACATATAAGTTGTAGTTCAAGTTCTAGTTTTTTGTATTCCAAGTATCTCAGGCTACGAAGCACCTAGGAGCCTGCCAATTAAGCTGAATTTGCAAAATGGAATGGTTTTAATTCACGAGCCCCACCACACAAAAGCAGACGTGTTGGGCTGTTGTTCCGTTACCTGGAAGTGCTTACTGAGATAGGGACTTCTAGATTCACTTTCTCTACTGCTGGAAGAATCAGCTACGTTATGGAGGTGAAGAGACATATCGTTCAGTCAAAGCTTCGAATTTAACTTCCTTCACTGTTTTCTGATGAATGATGACAACACCGATATTATTCTATTCAGAGAAGTTAAAATTACTGAATGTTTTAAAACTAAAGGAAGTGGAACGTGCATTCCAACATCATCTCACTCCCAGGCCTTCCCCTTCCACAAGCCAACTTCTTTCCCCTAGTGAGTATTTCCTGGGTCAGGAAGGCTGACCCTTTCCATCTGGAATCAATCAGTCAACCCCTGACAACTTCCTGAAACACCTCACTCCATTTCCTGTTCTCTCCCCCTTCTCGCTTTCCCCCTGGTTTGCTTCACTCTTCAAAACTGCAGGCCACAGCAGCTTAATGTTAGAGGGTCAGGCACAGTTAGACTCCAAAACACTACACAAGGACACCTTTGACCTTCAAAAATCTTTACATCTTAGCTAAACAAATCAAGGTCAACATTTCTTACCATTACCTTGTTAACTATTTGTATGTATCTTTACCAATGGTCCTCTGGTCATGTAGCCATCAATACCACTTGTTCTCCTAAGATCATAAACTGACCTGCTTAAAAAGCAGCAAATTTAGTATGGATTAAAGGTGCCACCTGGAGGTACCTGCAACTAAAAATCGCCCACATTCTAACAAGCATATGGGGAGGATTCCGTACAAAAGGACTTCTATGCCTCGTCAGTGTCTCCCGTTACCTAAACCTGATACCTCGTCTTTTCTGAAGCTGTCAGACACTCTTGGCATTGTCATTCTGCTGGCACAGCCTGAAAGAATGCCAATTAGGAATACAGATGTCCATAATTTGTGAGGGATGGACCCCGGGTTTCGCTGCTGACACTCGTGACAACTTTCATTTATTTTTCATAGTTGATATATCTGTATTGCAGCTCAGAGCTCCAAGAGCAAACCCTGCAGATCTCAGTACTGTCATCGTAGGTGACAGTGCTTCTCAATGGGTACCCTTCGATTCTGCACAAAAGCGATGAGCAATTTGTTCACCATGAGATACCTTTAAGCCAAGTTTCCAAGAAAGAGGTTTCAGGGTCAACTGAAATTGCTTGCATTCTTAAAAGTGAAAGTGGTCTCTGTTGGTCCTTATTTCTTTTGCTTATGGTCTCTAGTTGATGAAGCCCGCTCAATAAATACAGATCAAGCAGGGAGTGACCAGGATAGGTTTCATTTTGAGTCATTTAACTATAAGGCAGTGTTGGCAGAACGAGAAACTCACATGAAACATTTGTGTCACCCTGGAAAACAAGTATGTCAATGGTGGCCTAAAAGTACTCACGAAAACTGATTGGCTTTCTCAAATTCTGTTTTTCATTACCCAAAAGTTCTCCCACATCTCTCACCCTAATAATTTATACAAAGCAGGAGCTGAGTTGTAAAGAGCTCTTTCCTGCTCATAAAAGGCCACTGTGGGAGGGACCCTTTGGTGGACACATGCATTAATCTGCCCATACAGTTAATTTTCCAATTGTGCAGTGGTTTGGTTTTTTTGGTGGGTTTTTGTTTTTATTTTTTCGTAACAGAATGATGGGATATGGCAGGGAACTCTTACTGAACTAACTTATGCCCATCCCTGGGTAAGGTCTATATCCAACACTGGGATGCCTTTGGGTTCCTGAAACACCACATTTGTGTGATTAGTTTTCTTTATTCTTCTCCCAAGTTCTAACTGTAGGATTTAGTTGCGTTACAGAGCCAGAGGAACGGCCAGCTCACTCCCTGCTTCCTGTCAGCTGGTACCCAGGCGCCCCCACAAAAACCCCAAGTCTCACACACGGAGGGTAGCAGAAGCAGGCAGCATGAAAAGCATGGAGATAACTAACTACTAAGTGATCTTCTCTTTGAAATAGACAACGTTCCATTGTCTGTAGTCAGTAGGGAATAATTACATTGGTCAGAAGCCTCCCGTACAGATCAGAGTCCTTGCTCTGAAATCACACCAAATTCTCCCATTAGTCAAACACAGGCTCCTGCCACTGCAGAGAGGGTCATACAGCATCCA